GGGTTTCTCTCCAGTATGAGATCTTCCATGTTGTCGAAGAGAACTGGAAAAGGTGAATGATTTACCACATTTCTTACATGCATAAGAAGTAGCAAATACTTTATTACTTATTGGATCGGAAAATCCATGCTGAAAATCCATGTCAACCACGGTCTATTACAGCACAATGAGTGCTATGATTATGGAGAATTTAGGCTTCACGATACTTGTTTCTTGATTAAAGGATAGTATACTTGTTTTATATACAGTAACTCCCACTAAGACCATAGGGGAACCATATTTAAATTTTGTGGCATCACCAGGTATGATTCTTTCATAACCTGTATTGACTATCAACACATGAACATTTCCCAATTGATGCATTGCAACAGATTTTAAAATTCATAGGCCATTTTGCAGAAGCAAGAAACCCAATCAGCATCCAATTATCTAGTTTTACATATTATTTAGTAAACTTCAGATTCCCAATTGGGTCAAACTGTAAAACTTTTTCTCTTGAATAGGAGCTCCTTTGAGGCCAGTGGATGAACTGTGTTATAAATGTATTCCTGAAGAAAGGCTAAAACCAACATTGTCATTGCTACATGCCTCCTACAAGGTAATAGTTGTGTTGTAGGGTTTAAGAATTCTATGTATATGCTTGGTTGAATTAACTCCTTTGCTGTGTCATATGGGTGCCAAGGTTGTTTCTCCCCAAAGCAGGTTCACTGTGTACTGTTATCAACTTGACTATGATGAGAGAAAACACATTCATAAACATATAAGTCAAATTGTTACTTATAAAAGCATCAAAGAAGACAAGAAGTCTAAAATTCAATGTGATGTGGTACTCTAAGGTTCAGAGAAGATGCCTAGAAGGGCGGAATTTTGATTGCATGTGGCCCACTTGCAACACAGTTAAGAGACTAATGAAAATAGCCCAGCCCAGTTTTTATTGCCTAGAAGTACCTGACTCACTGACCAAAACTGTTGGACATTGTATTTCTAGTAAAGACTAAGTCTGGGCTGTTCTACCACTCCCTCCTGACTTCAGGATGTTGCATTCCCAGCACATTTTACACGTATTCTTAAGAACTGCAAGTAAGAAAGGGGGTAAAACTGGGCCAGTTCTCAATTCTTAACAGTGAGGGAACAGGATATTTTTTTGACAGAAACAAAGGCAGTAGCAGTAGAGAAATTTCAGTGTCCTAATGGCCCATCTGCTATTTGGTTTCTGGACCAGAGCATGACTCATGACTGCTTTTCCCTTTCCATAAAAATTGCTTCAGAATATATTTAATTCTTCTTATGCAAAGTAGCAGCATTTGTTTTATCAGTAGTGTGGGCAATCTGTGGTCAGTGAAAAAAGTTCAAGAGTCCATCAATCCACATTGAAGACCCCCAACATCCTCCAGTGAGTGCCACTCAATCTTGCCGATGTTAGCAACATACAGTAAGGTCGTTTTGACTAAGGCCCTGTAAGGTTACAAGGTTAGGCCTTTGGCATGCTGATCAGTCATGCTAAAAGAAGCCCATACACAAGATAGGGGTTCTGCAATGAAAGAGACTAATATCAAATGCTTCTTCCCCTTTTCTTTACTCATCATTTCCTGGACCATCAGGCACCATTGATATGCACCTCATCAGAAGAGTGCACATAAAAGCAGCAGCACAAGAAACACTCAAGGCCACTAACCTTGCACAAATAATCCTGTTAGACCATTAGGTGACATGCTTAATTCTCTCCAGGGTGGGGATATTCTTTCTTCCTACAACTACACACACACACACACACACACACACACACACACACAAAATCCCTGGAGCTGTCCCAAGTGTGTACACCAATAATGTTCATATAGCTACTTCAAGCATCCAGTGATGGTAACCAAGGTAGATGCAGTTACCACAGAGCAAGAGTCTTGACTTTTGATAATCAGAAATAAAGAACCCAGTGGTGAAGGTGCTGTGTTTTCACTGCCTTAATATGGGGTACCTTGGAAACACAGATCAAGGTGGAGCATACATCCTGCAGGGGCATGGTCACTTAACCAACCATGTCTAGGAGTTGAGAGTCTTATTGTAGGACAAAGTGACAACACCTGATAAAGAACACAAAGTGCTGTGTGGACCAAAGTGAAAGTCCATCATTTGGTGGTTCTACTGCTGGTGACTTTTGTTATATTATAAAACCAGTTAGACAAAAGCAGTTTAAGTTGAAAAGATATCATCAGTCATGGTTGGTCTATTCTGTTGGTAATGCCAGTTGTTTCCACAGTCTCACTGGTGAACAGAAAACTTAGGACCCTAAAGCTATGGGGAAAAACGCATGACAGCCATGGCTGTACAGATAAGATTAACAGCAGTTATTAGTTACATGTAGACAAAAGAGGAAGGGTACTGTAAATGAGGCTGGCCCACACAGGACTTGCACTAAGGAGCAGATAGAACAAACAGGGTGTAAAGGGAATGCTTTGTACTATCTAGAATGTGAGATGCTCCTTGGTTCTCATGAGGATGCAATTGGTTTAAATGCATCTGTGAAAAGTTAGACTACAGGATTAGATCAAAATAGTATAATATAATTTTGTAATATAAAATTTATTGTGTGAATTAGACATAAACTAGATATGCACAACTCATACTTACAAAACTGTACTATACCAAGTAATATATATAGCTATGTATACACATATAAGTACACATGTGGACATGCCATATACTAAATGTTTCTATACTATATGGTAAACTGGGGCACACAAATTTCTTTGAATATAAATGCAAAAGGCCACAATAATACACTGGAAAACTGAACATATCAATATGGGTTGAGTGTTTCTTATCTGAAATACGTGGAAACAGAAGTGCTTTGGATTTCAGACTTTAAAAATTTTTGGAATATTTACAGAAAACGTACTGGTTGAACATCAGAAATTCTCTAATGAGTGTTTCTGTTGCGCAAAATACTGGTGCTCAGTTTTAGACTTCAGAGCATTTCAGATTTGGTATTCGGAATCTGGGGTTTACAGATGCTCAACCTGTAGATAAAATACTTATATTCCGTGATGAAGACAAATTTCACTCAGAAAACCATAATATATTTATATTTGAAAGCCAATCAATGTGATAGACTACTAATAGAATGTCAAAAACCACAAATCATCTCAATAGATGCAACAAAAAACATGTTGTAGGGGTTCAACATGTAACAACAAATAAAAAATACAAGAAAATTTCCTGAACCTGTTTTAAAATATTTATGAAAAACCCACAATATACTTTATGGTGGGACTGAATGCTTTCACACTCAGATTAGACAAGCATGCCGTCCAATCACAGTTCTCTCTTAATTCAAAGTAAAAAGTGAGCCAGGTGTGGTGGCTTATGTCTGTAACCCCAACCTGTGGAGAGGCTGGGGCAGAAGGATAGTTTGAGGCCAGGAATTCAAGACCAGCCTAGAAAATACAGTGAGATGGTGGCATGTGTCTGTAACTCCAGCTACATAGGAAGTTAAGGTGGGAGACTCACATGAGCCCAGAAGTTTGAGGCCAGAGTGAGATATGATTGTACCACTAGACTTCAGCCTAGCTGACAGAGTGAGACCCTGTCTCTAAAAACATAATTTTTTTAAAAAAGTGAACTATGCAAGTAGCCAAAAATAATGACAAAAGGAAACAAAATGAAATAATGCACGAGACTATATAATAAAATTCACGTACTTGCAAATTATGTGAATTTTATATTTTTTATTAATTTTTAAAATTAAGTATAAAATTTTATAATTTTTTATTAGCAAAGAAAATAGAAAATCTTTACAACAAAAAAAGCAGTTTTTTCCATGAAAAGATAAAATATACACACATATACATACGTATATACACACACACATACACACCCACGTGCACACACACAAAATGGGTAAGGAATAACCAAAACTTGCCACATAAGATCAGTAAGAAATTTCCAATAATTAAAAACTCATTTTTTAATGATCCATTAATTAGAAAACAAACAACTAAATGAAAATTAAAATTGCCTACATTTAGAAATATATTTCAACTCAGCCTAGGGATCCAATAAATTTTTTAATGAATAGACAACAATTATGTTAATGGATGAGAAAAAAAAACTGCCTATTAA